TATATATATATATATATATATATATATATATATATATATATATATATATATATATATATATATATATATATATATATATATATATATATATATATATTACAGTGAACATTGCGTGTCTGCAAGTACGTTTTGTTCATTTCAAGCTTCTACGGTGTCTTGGGGCAACATTAAATTACATCATTAGTCGATCTATATCACGCCAGAAGTGCATAATTATAGAATTAATTATTTTATACTTGCCCATCGCGAATCCCCCCGCATGCACTCATTAACACCATAACTATTGTTGTGTCAAACAACTTCTTCTCCACTATGTTTAACTTCACGTTCTTTGATAAAATAAAAATGTTCTAAAATGTTCCTAACAATCCCGCGGTCAAAAGGATTATAAAACTTTCCATCAGAGCCAGTTAAATACGAGTATCTTTTTTGATTAATTCGTTCGTTGCTTGTTAAATTCGTCGCCATATTGCCAACCTGAAACAAAGAAAAGTTGTTTTGAGGGTAAAAATAATAAAAACACCTTTCTTATTCGTAGGCCTAAGACGTAACAAATAACTATGTGTTAAGGTCCACACAGATCGGACGCGATTCGACAACGCGACGCGTTGAAAACTGAAAATTCGCGTCGCGTTGCCAAATCGCGTCCGATCTGTATGGGCCTTTACAATTGCAATTAATGCGTATAGCAACAAACGCATAGGAGTGTTTGCGCAATTTATGCGCGAATACTTTTGGGTTTAATGAAGCAAGTATACTGCAAGTTTTTTTAATTACACTGATTCAAAAGTGATTTCAACAGTCTTTAAATGACACAGTAAAATAGTGCATAGTTAAATACAATATGATAATGACGATGTTTTAATAAATATTTGGCCACTGCCAGTGGGTTGGTACTAATTCTGTCCGGCTATTGATATACCCGAGCATAGCGAAGTTCAAAGTCGTCAAAATATATGTATGGTGTCGACGGTATTGTACGTTATTGGACAGGTGTCAACGATTGGACAGGTGCATGTCAACAATAGCAAGCTCGTGATTGGTACGTCAGCAAAAGTAGAATAAAAGTTCAACATACTTACATGAATGAGTATTAAAATAGAAAGAATTAAACAAGCCAATACTGTTTCAAGTAATCCAAGAGTAATAAGGACATCATAACCATTTCGTATAATCAATGTAACACAGAAATACACGGTTATATAACCACACAGCAATAATGAAACAGCAAACGACAGGAACTTTAGCCTAGAAAAAATAAAACATACACACTGGTCAGCTTAGACATGTATAAGATGGGAAATATAAAGCAAGTTTGTTTTGTATTTTTTTCGTAAACATGTACGTTGTTTTCGGGTTTACTACTTCGTTCCTAAATTGCCGTATTTTTTTAAATTGTCAGACTTTCAATTCTTTCCTGCAACGATATTTTGAATCGACTGACGGACCTGTTTCAGTGCATGTGTTATATTGAAAACCAGTCTTGAAGATATAGAAAATATTGTCGCTTATACTGGAGAGAGAGGAATTTTCAGTCGTTCGAGTGACGAGGCAATATCCTGTGTTAGATTTCAAGGATTGAATAAGTTCACTAAAATATGGACCTGTTAAATTTTCGAAGTTGCAACTCCTATCTGGGAAGCCAGATCAGAAATATTATGAAAGAATTGAGGAACTGCTCTTCCCAAGTAACAAGTTCCTTAAGGAGTATCTCTTCTTGTTGTTTCTTTAAAGTAAAATTTTAAAATCGCTTTACAGCTCATTGTATGAAACGACTTTTCCAGTTTGTTCGTTCACTGGAATCACTGCAACCAGGTATATCAATCATGTTTCGCTCGCTACTCTGGTTTTAATAAATGATTACAAAGCCTGGAGTGTCGAAACGTTGGGTCTTGATTACAATTCGACTGGGCTTTGTAATCATTTATTTAAACCAGAGTAGCGAGGGAAAAATGACTTTTCCATATGTTTTCAACTAAAATCTTGGCAGTTGGCTCCTTCCACTCCTGGCAGTCCGCCATATTTTGAGATCAGTGAGATGACCACCTACTACCCCACTTTTGAAACCGCTAACAGCTCAGTGTGACCAGATTTTTTCAGCAGTCATTACTAAAATTTTGTTCAAATTTTACTACTGTAAATTAAGAAAAATTTTACCAAATGTCGGCTTCTCAAATAAATACGTCATAATAATGCAAAAAAACAATAGTTACGTCATCAAAGTAGAAAAAATATGCACAAAAAGTATCTCGAAATACTTGTTGCTTTCATCATATTGCAGTTTTTGCTAATGATAAGACTTTATTTCTTAGGCTTGGCAGTTCTGTTCATCACTTTGAGCACGTTATTAAACAAAAAACACACATTTTTACCAAAATGATTATTAATAATTAAAACCTTTCAGATTTTACCAAAAATTTGCCGAAAAAAACTTATTACTAAATTTTCTTGAAAATTCACAAAACTTTACCAAAAGTAAAACTTCAGTTTACCAAATCTGGTCACACTGTAGCAGCTTTCCTTTTCCCGAGTGTAAATAGCCGTGCGGAATTAGTACCCTAGCTCGCCCTGGGCTTATGCCCGGAACGGCGCTTCACGCTGTTGGCTCGGGGATTAATGTGTACGTGTGATTGCATGCAATCCATGCATTAGTAGAAAATGCAAAACTAATTTTAAGCGATTTCCTTTGTGCTCTTCTTACCTATTATGTAAACCAATACAATTATTGACATAAGGACAATGATGATCAAACGTTCTTACACATCTGTTGCATATTCTGCAGTGTTTAGAACGCAATGGTTTAACCAGGCGACACGTGTGACACAGTCGATTCAACGGACTACCGGTTTTATCTTTCCAATCGTCGTGAAGAGCTACCTGAAAAAATATAAATATTACATCTGGGATCGGTTGAAATATAAAATGAAACATTTGTATTTATATAATATCTTATTGAATTCTGATCGTTTAATTGGCTGTTTATGGTCACGTGATATTGAATAGAAAATTCCATTTCCCAAGAGTGCAATGGAATACGTTCCATCGCACTCTTTGCGAGTGCAATTGTACTATACGTTTTATTCCACTGCACTCTTTGTGTTTTCGATAAATCGCATCCGTCAAAATGCTTCTCATACGAATCTATTAGTCTATATTTTTGTATTATATAAAACAAATAATGAATATACA